TAGTGATCAGAGTGCTTTTATATTTTGGGCTAACGTTTTGGGCGTCATGGTTTTGAACGACAGAGAAAGCATGGGTATTGATTTATGCTGGTAAAGCCGGCGGTCAAAACGCTGACACACGCATAAAACACTGACGCAAAGTATAGACGCACTCCTAGTAATCTTGGGAGCTCAGGACCAGACGAGCATTTCTTGGCACTGTTTGCCTCTACATGCTTCAATATTATTCCAAATTCAAGATTTATTACCCTCGAAATCTGCTCCGAGAACAAATTTTCCTCGAAAATCGACTGCGGGGGGGGGAGAGAGACATTTTGGCTTCCTGAAAAGGAATGCCACATCCGTCTGAAGCAAGCGCATTCAACGCAGCGGCAAAGCAGTATACTTCGCCGGCACCTGATTTAGGCTGCGTTCTCGCTCTGCGAGTGGTTGAGCTTACGCCAGCATTCTCAGCGACTGCCCGCGAAACGCTCAAAACGCTGACACAAAGCATGAACGCGCTCTTGTAGGGCGTACGAGTATGGAGATCAAAATGAACCGTAACACAAAACTCCACCCAAATTCAGACCTAGACAATTCTGATGGGAATCCACGCTCAACTCTAAATGGTAGAGGGTAAATAGTGTATGTATTACACAATTTCTGCTCACGTTCTAATAATACTGAACTCTGAAACTTACTGTAACAAGACTTCCCCCAGAAGAAACAGCAGATCCGAAGTTTGAAGCGTTCGAAGGACTGAAATATGATCATTTCACTAGTTGGCTAGACTATTCCGGCCAAATAACTCACCTATTGTACGCCACCATCGATGGAGCTTCTTCTTTACCCGCTGCGGCAGCATCGGGCTGCCGCTGTTGGAAAACGACCATCAGCTTGCTGTACATCAACTCATTTGGAGGAAGGGTCTGAATAAAGTTTTACTGATACCTACTCTCAATGTTTTCACCTCTGACTATCAGCTGCCTGTGTGTGCTTCTGCCATGAACACAAACAGTTAGACTCATATATTTACTGAAAATTGCTTCTTATCTTGCGTATGCTAACGAGTCGGGTGGCAGGTATTTCGTAAGGTCAGGCGCCTCCGTGAGGCGCATGGAATATGGGCGTGTCGGGTCACGACCATTCCGGCTTATTTCTGCTTACTGAGTGGCCCACCACCCTCCCATTTCCTCAGGATCACGCAGCTCGAAGAGGACAGAGCTTAGTCTGGAACTATCGCAAGTGACCGATGAGGTAAGATAAGAATTGATTTAAAGTGTGAGCGGACTTGCCAAGCGTTCACTGATCCCGAGCTGATCGCCTATTTGTCTAGGATACGGGCGCTTCAAGACTCCAGCTTTTTCTCAGTCCATTGAGGATCACATTCAAAAGAGCATAAAAACTTTTACACCGCAAGCAGTCTAAAAGTATAATCTAGAGTCTAGTCTAG